ATATATACACACACTAACTGCACTATCATCATGATGTCGCTGTCTGTCATGGTGGATGGAAAACAGGTTGAAATTGTCAACTGCTTCATCTTCCTTGGATCCACAATTAAAGCTATTAGCACCAGCAGTCAGGAAACAAGGAGACATACTGCACCGGGAAAATATGCAGTTAGGGACCTCTTTGAATTATTGAGGAATAAGGATTTGAGTTTGAGGACTAAAGTGAGTCTGATTCAGGCCATAGTCTTTCCAAACACTTGCTATGCATCTGAGAGCTGAACAGTGAATAAGGATGACAGAAGAAGAATTGATGCCTTTGAGTTGTGGTGTTGGAGAAGAGCACTGAACATCCCATGGATGGCTAAGAGAATGAACAGATATGTCTAGGAGAGGGTGCAGCTGCAGTGCTCTTTGTAGGCAAGAACGATGAGGCTTTGCCTCACATACTTTGGGCATGTTGCTAGGAAGTTCTATTCCTTGGAAAGGGACATGATGATGGGAAGGGTAGGAGGTTGGTGAAGGAGAGGAAGACCCCCAACCAGGTGGATAGTTGCAGTGACTGCCATTTGTGTGTGAGGATGGCACAGGGTAGAGCAAGGTTCAGACCTTTTGTTCATAGAGTCACTAGGAGTTATACTCTACTCGACAGAATATAACAACAGTAATTTTCAATTAACAATAATTAATAAGTATTAGTTCTATGATACTGTTTTAAATCAAACCTTCTGTTATTCTTCCATAGATGCTATGATTGACTTGAATAACTAAAACTTTTTGGATCATACTGGACTATGCAAAGGCTTTTGACTGTGTGGATCACAACAAGCTATCGCTGATTCTGAGAAGAATAGGAATCACAGAACATTTGATTGTGCTAATGCGAAACCTATACTTGGACCAAAAGGCAATTGTCAGAACAGAGCAAGGAGACACTACATGGTTCAAAATCAAGAAGGTGGTCTGTCAGGGATGTATTTTGTCTCCATACCTTTCCAATCTGTATGCAGAACAGATCATCCGAGACGCTGGGCTGTACGAGGAGGAATATGGCATCAGGATTGGTGGAAGAGTCATCAACAACCTGCATTATGCAGATGACACAACCCTGCTTGCTGTAGCTGAGGAGGATCTGAAGCACTTGCTGCAGAAGATCAAGGACTGCAGCCTTCAATACGGATTGAAGCTCAACATCAAGAAAACAAAGATTCTCACCACTGGGGCTATTGGCAGCATCAGTATGGATGGTGAAGAGATTGAGATAGTTGACAGTTTTAGTTTTCTTGGCTCCACAGTCAACACTCTTGGTACTAGCAGGCAAGAATTCAAGAGACAAATTCCATTGGGAATTTGCATTGGGAAAGTCAGCTGTCAGGGACCTCTCAAGAGTACTGAAGAGCAACGATGTCAGGCTGCAGACGAATCCTGATCCCAGCTATAGTCTTCACAATTGCGTGCTATGCATCAGAGAGTTGGACAGTGAGCAGGGATGATAGAAAGAGAACTGACGCCTTTGAGCTGTGGTGCTGGAGAAGAGTGTTGAATATACCAAGAACTGCTAGGAGAACAAACAGGTTTGTCCTGAAGAAGGGGAAGCCAGAATGCTCCTTGGAGTCAAGGATTCTGAAGCTTCATCTGATATACTTTGGGCATGTTGCAAGGAGGCACTGGTCCTTGGAGAGGGACATCATGTTTGGGAGAGTAGAGAGAGGGACGGTGCAGCAGAGGAAGACCCTCAATGAGATGGATCAATAACTGTGATTGGGGTGGTGGGAATGAGTGTGTAGGAGATGGTGAAGTTGGCACAGGATAGAATGGCGTTTAGGGCTCTTGTACTTAGGGTCACCATGAGTCGCGAGCTACTTGATGACACATAACAACAATAACAACAAATGGAAATCAGTTTATGCCCTCCTATGCTTCTTTCTACTTGTGTAAGTTGTAGAGAAAATAAAGGAAAAAAAGAGTGGCTGTTGGCTCGAGAAAGGACTCTATTTTTATGACACTTTAAAAGAAGAGCTCTAATGATATTAATAAACCCAAGGAGGAAAGGGAAGGGAGGTATATAGTAAGGAACCATTTGAGGGGGCAAATATTCACCATGACTTAATGGAACGTGTTTGTTGAGCAGTTTTCTCATTTCCTTGAGGTGCCAACTATATGTAACTCACTTGTTTGAGATTGTTGACCACATGTTCTATAAATATTAGTTAACTTTTGATGCTTATAAAGAACAATCAATATTGAACTAACAAAGGTAAAAGGATAGTCCTTAAGTGTTAAAAAAAAAGATCATTTTTATAAACAGAAGATGATTCCAAGTTCAAGCTCAGTAGTGTGTCAAGAGGGAAACCCAAGTGGGTGGCAGGTATGCTCTGTGAAGGAGTCTGTGAGCATGCTTGTGCCCTGCAGAAGTCTCTCCTGGTGAATCCCCTGATTCTAAGCAGCCCAGTGCCATTGAGAGTACTGTTACAGTGGTGTGGGGCCCATCCTGCCCTGGAAGCCTGCAGCACAGCCCCCAAACCTAGTAGAAGAATAGCCAACGTACATCTATTAGGAAGTGCTCCCGCTCTTGACCATCGGAAACTCTACGGATGACTTACTGTTGGTTTCAAGACTCTCACAGAGTTCACTTTTCACCTCGCCATTTGGTCTGTCGTTTCCCTTTTGGATCAGTTTGCTTTGCATGGTGGCTGCGGCTACCACCGCCTTGAAGCTCCTCTTGCGTTTCTGAACATTCTGCTCTGGGTGGAAAATGATAATATAAACCTTGGGCATATAGAGCATACCCAGAGAAACCGAAGCACTCAAACTCATGGAGACTGTGAGTGTTGTCGTCTGGATGTACATCTGAGGGGACAAAAAGAAAAACAAAGGAAGATTAATCTTGGTAAGCCAGACACAACGCACAGCAAAGGGCAACCGTTCTCTATATTTATTTCAGCTCCTTTACTAAAGGTCTCTAACAAAACTGCAACCAAGCATTCTTCTTTTTTGTTTTTAAAATTTTTTTTAACCAAGCATTCTTATACAGCAACTTGAGAGGCTGGGTGAGTGACACTGTATAGTTTATTAAGTCAAATTCTGTAAACCAAACAAGTAAACAACTTTTAGCTGGTGAGGTTATGCTCCCATTTGTAATTATAAATAAATGCAAGAAATGCGGCAAGCCTTCAAGAAAAAGAATATCTGTTATCTTTTTTTTTTCAAAAATTAAGTCTTTACACTAGAAACCTTCTCCAGAGAAATACTACAGAACTAACTGATTTTTTTTTTCTTCCAATAGTGAGCTGATTCAAGAGCTAAAGACTATGTTGTGGAAATGGATTGAGTGTGAATATTCTAGAAAATCACCAATACATACCATTGTTTTATCAATTCTAGTACTTCTATCTTCTCATCATTGCTTCATTCCACCTCTCACAAGACTTAGCAAATGATAAGCTTGCCACTGTGACATTTTTAAGAGCGTCTCTCAAGTCCAGGCACATTGACATGGACTTGAGTGTGTTCACAGAACTGGTAATAATCTTCCACCCTTAGACTGAGACATGCCCTGTTTGCACATGGTCCTGGTGTCTACCCTTAGAAAGTCTTCCCTCATTCTTTTTTAATCATATCCCTTACCCTGGAAATCTTTATATGTCATAGAATCCCTAACCCTGGAAATCCCACTAGAGATCTTTGTTCTTAGAAAGACATTTTTAGAAGATTTGTATCTTGTTTTAACAATCCAGAGGTAAACAAGTTGAAAATGTCTACTCACAAATCACTGCATTTTGTTTCTTCATTGGTATAGGAGTAATTGTGGTAATCTTTTAATTTTTAAAAGCAAAGCCATTTGCTATTTAGTGTCCTGAGCTCAAATTCTAATTTCCCCAATGAACTGAGATGCACAGATCATGAGACAGTATGTTGAAAAAAGGAGAAGAATCTCTTCATATCTTATCTCTGAGTCTCATTAATATCTGTTCACTCTAAATATCCATCCAAAAATGAAAGTTCTTACATTTTATCTGGAAATCCTCCAGGGACCAAACAAACTGTCCTTTTTAATAAATGATCAACAAGTACGACTCCTCCAGGGTTGCTGTTGTTTTTACTGCGTGCTTTGGAACCAGAGCTGACACACAGCTGACCTTCTCATGGGTTTTCAGAGCAGCAAATCCCAGGGGAGGATATTACCCATCTCTTTTCCACAGAACAGCTGGTGCATCTGAACTACCTGCCTTTGAATTGGCAGCCCACCTCTTTACCGCTAGACTACAGAGAATCTGAATTATCATAATGGTGGCCTTTCCTTTTCTGGAGGGAAACAGCTTCTTGTCACAGATGGCCAAGCCTGCAGCTATGAGAAGTCCAGGCACCAGAACAAGAAGTTGTTCTTGTCTCTGAAATCATACCATGCAGGTTATGGAGTTTGAAATTAGTTTATCTACTGCTAATACTGCCTTTACTTAAGATCCCATTATGAATATGAGAGTACACATTAATAAGGTAACACAGGCTGGATTGGCTTCCAAATTCACCTGACCCAGGAAGTCCTTCTTGATAAGCCTTACTTTAATTTGAATCTTTTCAGTTTATTAGGGAGCTCTAATAGCCAAGTGGTAAGAAGCTACGCTGCAATCCTGAAGGCACATGGTTCGAGTCCACCAGCTGCTCCGCAGAAGAAGGATATGCAATCTTCTCCTGTTCAATTAATGGCCTCTGAAAACCTGCCTGAAGATCAACTATGGGTTGGTTCTGACTCTGTGGTACACAACAACAGTCTAAATATTAGTAACTGATACATAAAACAAATCAATTGATAAAAATGACTGCACCATCCCACTTGTGCTTGTTTATGGTGCTATCACCATTTCTACTTATTTAAACTTTATATTCATTTATAAAATTGCTCAACTAGATATAAATACCCAGCTAAGGATTGAATTGTGTGCCTCAAAAAAAAAAAATCTATCAATTAGACTGGGCTGATCCTCAGTGCTAGGTGAAAACCTTTCGTCTTATGATCTGATGTTGTTATCCTAAGTGTTGTAAATCCTAACCTTGATGACTTTAATGAGACAAAATTAAAGGCAGCTATGTTATGGAGGCAAGATACCATCTATAGGATTAAGGTGTATTTTAAATCAATCTCTTTAGGTATTTAAAAGATTAAACAAAGAAGCAGAGATCAGAGAAATCTTCTACCACCTGGGGGCAAAAAATCCTGGAATTTGAATGAATATTGGGACCTGGAGCCTCTGCACTGAGGATCGCTCAGACTCAGAGATTGATGCTGAGATACGTGGGGATGCCTATGGAGAGCTAGTACACAGATGTGGGAAGGACCTTCCCCCAGAGCCAAAGAGAGCGAAAGCCTTCACTAGAATTGACGTCCTGAATTTGAACTTCTAGCTCGCAATATTATCAGAGAACAACTTTCTGTTGCAGCAGCAATAGGTAACTAAGTCACTCTCTCAGGGTTAGCAGGACTCTCTGAGTGATGCAAATGGTTCACAAACTTGGTTTCTAAGGAAAAGATTGAAAGTTCAAGTTTGTTCACTCAGAGGCTCCTCAGAAGAAAGATCTGATCATATACTTAAAATAAAGCAGCTGCCGAAAACCCAGTATTACTTTGTCTCATACAGAGTCACCATGAATCTGAACTGGAATTTTAGCCTTTGCAGTAGATAACTGGCTTTCTTTTCCTTATACATCTCTAGGAAATCATGAAATATTCCACAGATAAGTCTTAGAAAATGGTCATAATTTTTAGGCATAGGATAATCCTGAAGAACCTTATAATTTACACACTTCACACAGAATAGGCTTTCCACATCTCCCTTCCCTTCCCAAGAGATCAGAAATTGCCATCCAACAAAGGTAATGGCATTTGAAGTAAAAAGCATGACATGATAATACTGCAGGCTGGGCTCATGTGAAAAGTCTCAGTGGACACATGATTCACATACGTCCTTTAGCAAAGTGATAAATTACAGTGAGTCCTGACCTCTCATGCTGCCTGACAAGAAGCGAAATCCCTAGTTAAATCTGAGAATGCTAAGAATCTACTAAAATTAAGAAGTCCCTGATAGGTACACGGATATGTGCCTTTAAACCTGATAAACCTCCCTAAGCTTTGCCATGTACTTGAAGGCAAGCTATTATTACAAATTCTCATAAGCTTCTGATGTGTTAGCTAATCCGCTCTGAATTCCCACTTACTCTCAAGTTAGCTGCTGTAAAAAGCTATTCGGAAAATGGACTGCAGAGAAAGGACACACAGAGAGGGACAGAACCACATACAAAGCACACACATGCATATTCCGAAATCATAAGGTTTGTTCCATCAGCTAAGTCAATTTAGCTTAAAAATCATACAACAGGGGAGTTCAAAACCCTATTGAATTATAGGAACACCTATTTTGATAAGTTGAGTCATTATCCTAGGTCTTAATCTGTTGGTCTTGTTCAAATGTACAATAGTTACGTGCTATCAAATTGATCATGACTCCCTGAGACCCCATACCACAGAACAGGATTGTCCATTGGGTTCCTAGGTTGTGATATGTATGAAAAAGCATTTTGAGGTCTCTGATCCTGAGGAACTGCTAGTGTGGTTCATATGGCTCACCTCATTGGCAGCTAAACCCGTGGTCATTGTACCACCAGCGTTCCTTGCAGCACTGACTTCAATACTACAGAAACAGCTTTATCATTTGAAGACCTGCTAAACTGTATCTCTTTTATTACAATCATATGAGAGCCAACCCATATCTGAGTCCCTATTGGGCTTCCAAGGGACATGAGGAGATTATCTTTTAACCCATGGAGTCTGGTGGGTTAGAACCACAAACGATGTAGCCTTTAGATTAGCACAGCTCCCTGAGGGCTACACCACTAGAGGTCCTTAAACTACCTGTGCTGTCATAAATCCAGATGTGATCTTTTATTCAAAATTATTTCTATAATACTGATTATAAACATAATCTTATTGTTCTGAGCAGAAGCTTCCATAGTAAACACAATACTCTTTGACATACTAGGTCAGCATAAAATGAACTAAACATTGGTGGTATGTATGGATGGGAGCATATTATACTGCTAACCAAAGAGTTACAAGTCTCAGGTAGTTTCATTCCAACAATAGCTTTGAGAGAGAAAAATGGGATATATCCTGCCATTAAAATGAAAGCTGTATAAAGCTCAATGTAGCTCTGGTGGCCTGGGGGTAAGAAGCTGCCCTGTAGTCTCGAAGGCCACAGTTCAAATCCACCAGCTGCTCTGTAGAAGAAAGATGGGCAATGTCTTCCCATGGGATTAACTGCCTCTAAAAACCTGCCAGAAGGTGAGCTATGTGTCAGTTCTGACGCAATGGTACTGGCTGCATAGTACTCTGTGTCTCGGATTACTGATGCAAAGATTGGCCCTTTGAACCCATCAGAGGTTCCACTGGAGAAGGATGGACAAATTCTTGTCATACGATTTGCAGTCTTGATGAAGGTAAGTTTGGTTTGGATGTTTAGTGTATACAGTCCTCCAATAGGCACGGAATTCTCAAATGATGTACCACCATACCCTAAAGTCCCAACTCTTACATGATTGTCAAACACTGGTTACAGAGACCTGGGTCATGAGCAGAATGGGTTAGTGTCTGAGTTTCATCTTTCAGGGGTCAGTTAAATGAAAAATAATAGTGTTTAAAACCTCAATAAAAACCACAAAAGGAAAAAGAAAACAAATAAACTTGCCACCATCTTCATCATAAGGAAAAAAAAATCTTCAAGCATCTTGGCTTACAAGATTCTAAATTATATTAAGAAATTTTAAACAAGCACTGAATTCTAATAGGCTATGATTTT